TTGTTTGTTGATTTATTGATGATAGCCATTCTGACAGGTGTGAGGTGATATTTCATTGTGGTTTTAATTTGGATTTTTCTGATGATTAGTGACATTTGAGCATCTTCTCATATGTCTATTGGGCATCTGAATGTCCTCTTTGGAGAAGTGTCTATTCCAGTCCTTTGTCCATTTTTTAATTGGATTGTTTGTTTGTTTATGTTGAGTTGTTTGAGTTCTTTATATATTTTGGATATTAACCCTTTAGTAGATGTGTCATTGGCAACTATGTCCTCCCACTCAAAGGGTTTCTAGCAGACCCCTTCCTCTTTCCAGGAACAGAATCCCTGCTGATTTCCACAGCCTGATGCTGTGCAGGCTTCATTTCCTGGCGCTGTTGCTCTGGGTTGAGGGATCTTGGCATGGAGTCGAGATCCCAGACTCCTCAGGGTAGATGTTTGCAGCCAAGAGATCTCCCTGGATTCTCAACCACCACACGTGTGTGTGTGTGTGTGGCAGCCCTTTCCACATCTCTGCACTTCTTACCAGCCTCTGTGTGACTTCCCCTGTAAACCCTTGGTTATAGTGCTTCTGTTCAGGTAGCTTCTGTTTATGCCATGTGATTGTTCTATAATTTAGCTGTAAATCTGGTTGGTGAGTATAGCTTTCACCTCCTCTGCGGCATCTTGGAATCTTGGAACCTCTCAGCTTTCATCTTTTATGTGTTTGTTTCTATGCTGTTTTGAAGAAAGAAAAAAAAAAAACACAAAAAACAACAACTCGCTAGAGAATGGCGCAGGACATGCGGGTCACAGCTGGAGAGTGCGTGCTAAGCGGTCCCGTACAGATGCTTTTCCTTATTTTTACACCACTTAACTGACCACTTGATTTAGGGATGCAATCTTCTCATTTTCAGCCCAACGATCAGTTTTCACCAAATTAAGCTTTCTGGAAATTTCCAATGAAACCAGTAAGAAAAGGAAATTAGGATCTGCCACTGTTGAATCAACTTGAGGAGTTGACAAAGTTTTCCCAGGGGTCACATAGTGGAATTCGCAGGTGAGATAAACACCAGCAGAAAACAACAACAAGATACACCTGTTACCAGTGGCGTTCACGTTCCGGTTCAAACATTTCCTGCGGAAAGCCAGCTTGGGACCATGTTTATGACCCTGAGTTAACATTTGGGCAATATACGATTAAACTTCTGAAATAAGCTCAGCGGTCCTTGTATAGTAATGCACTTATGTATACGTTATTGTACTTTAAATGTTAGGATGATTTTCACAGATCATGGGTTGGTTCTTGGTCGGTCAAGAAAAAAATCTCTGTGCCCCTGTGGCTGAAACAGACCAAATATCGGGAAGCCCAGGGAGTGGCAGTGGCCACTGTAGCACATACTTGACAGTAAGCACATGAGTGCTCAACATGCCACGAAGCAGCTCAGGTTTTGTATTACCTCGTTTCTTGAACAGATTATATGTTTATACCATTAAAATACAGAAGATACAGAAGTGCACACAGTGAAAAGTCTGCTACTCTTGTCTCCCAGTCACACTATTTATTTCTCTGGAAGAAAACAAGATTATTAGTTTCTTATTAAATTCTTCTTTCCTGGCCAGTGTGGCTCATTCGGTTGGAGCGCTGTCCCACGCACTGAAAGGCTGCAGGTTCGATTCCCGCTCAGGGCGCATGCCTAGGTTCAATGACTGGTCTGGGTGCAACTGATCAATGTCTCTCTCTCTCCTTCTCTTCATTCCTCTCTCTATATACTAAAAACAATTCTTCTGGAGAGGATTTATGTATCTGTAAGCACACGTTTAAATATTTTTTTAAAAGTTTAAAGAAAGTGATAGTATACTAGCCCAGCCAGTGTGGCTCAGTGGTTGAGCATTGACCCATGTACCAGGAGGTCGCTGGTTCAGTTCTTGGTCAGGGCACATGCCCAGGTTGTGGGCCCAATCCCCTGTGGGGGGCAGCAGGAAGTGGCCAATCGATGTTCTTTCTCATCAATGTTTCTATCTCTCTCTTCCTCTCCCTTCCCCCCTCTCTCAAATCAATAAAGAAAAAACATGTTACAAAAATGATAGTATAGTAAAGGCACAACTTTTTAAACTTTCCCTCCTCCTGATACACTTGGAAACCATTCCATATGTCCCTAGAAATACATTTATGTTTTCTTTTTCTTTCCTCTTCCCTTATCTCCCTCCCTTCTTTGTATGGATGTCTCTTGATCAAAATTTCGACTTCGCTGTTTTCCCTACTATAAACAGTAATTCAACAAATAACTTGTACCTATGTCGATTTTTATGAGCTCAAGTATATCTGTAAGACAAATTCCCCTAAGTAAAATTGTTGACGAAGAGTACATACGTTCCTGATTTTCACAGGTATTAATAAATTGCACTTGAGAAAGTAGCAATCAACATTTCCATCAATTGATAAGACTGTCTGGTCCCCATGATTATATTCAGTGTGTTACCAAACATTTTGATCGTTGCTAATCTGATAGGTGAACCATGATTCCATCAGTGGAAAATGAAGCAGGGAAAAGAGCATTGGAGATTCTAGGACTGAGGGAAAGATAGGGGATAGTCATTTTGGGAAGCTAATGAATGACATCATCAGGGAAATATGGGATAGAAATGCCAATGATGTTACTCATTTGAAGCTGAAGAGCATGAACCTAGGAACATAAGTTCATCCAGTTATGAAATATTCTCAAGTAACACTAGCTGCCTAGAGGTGAACATGGAGTGTTAAAAACAGTCAAGTTCATCTAGATGTGAGATGTTCCACATGCTGGGCATAGAGAGGGAGAGGGTCGGGAAATGGGAGTATTTTATAATTTATTTATATACAATTATATTAGGGAAATTTAAAACATACCCCGAAATAGCGAGACTAGTATACAGAACCCCCATGCACCTGAAACCTTGTTTGATAGGAATCTTCAACATATGACTAATCTAAACCTCTCTACTCTTTACTCCTGTGCCTTGTGTCAAATTACCTTAATGCAAATCTCAGACATTATCTCACCCCATCTGTAATTACCCAAGTATTTACTTTTTAAATTTAATCCTCACCTGAGGACATTTTTCTATTTATCTTCAGATAGAGTGGGAGGGAGGGAGAGAGAGAGAGAAACATCGATGTGAGAGACACATTGACTGGTTGTCTCTAGCAGGACCCTACCGGGGCTGGCGATGAAACACAACCAAGGTATGTGCCCTTGACCGGAATCGAACCCGTGACTCTTTGGTCCGTGGGCCAGTGCTCTAACTGCTGAGCCAAACCGGCCAGGGCTACCCAAGTATTTTTAAGGATGTGGGTACAATGCTTAACTGGTGATCCAAAGTTGATACGAAGGGAAGCAAAGAGAGTGATAGACAACATAGATATGTCAATGGACTGAGAGCCTGGACTGTTCCCTGGCAGCCTTTGTGAACGAATAAAGTAGGAAATAGGAGCTAGTGAGAGGTTTACTCCCTGAGTTGGGAGATTTGCATTTTTTAATAAAAACAAACATAGTGAGAGGGTCAGTCAACTAATTAAGCTACACAGTCCTCTTCCTCAAACCTCTCTGACTTACCCAGTTCTCTTTCTTATAGAACAACATCACTATAAATCACATTGTAAGGTATAACAATGTTGAATCACTATCTTGTGCACCCGAAACTAATATAACCAGTGTAGGATTGTATACCAACTATGCTTACATAAAAATTTTATTTTTAGAAACTGAAATGAATGCATACATATTCTGAATAGTGCAAGCAAGGCAGAAAGGCAGAACATGTGATGTGAATGTTTTATTTATCCTCGAATACCCAGCCATATTCAGGGGTCCTCTGTTAATCATTTCTGGTACATCCTTCCAGAAACTTGATATACACACATATATATACAAGAAGCATATGCATACTCCATAAAAGAGCATACATGGGATTATAAAGTGTTCTTGCTTTTTGCACTTAACAGCAAGTTGGGAATATTTTCATTTCAGGATACATGCATGCATCTCGCTTTAGAAGTGTGTACACAATATTCCATTTTGGATATGCGTGTGTCCTCATTAATGAATAATGCCACCAAGAAGATTTTCTTCCACATATTTACACATATGTGTATATATGTGACCATATCTTATCTATAAGAAAAATTCTTAGTAACATTTTAGGTTAAAGGGTGTTTTATGTACTGTTAACCTTTTTTTATATCCTCACGTGAGGACATTTTTTCATTTTTTGTTCAGGTAGAGTGCGAGGGAGAGAGAAGAACAGAGAGAGAGGAACATCGATGTGAAAGGGACACATTGAGTGGCTGCCACCCACATGATCAACCAGGGCCAGGGACAAACTGCAACCGAGGTACGCGCCCTTAGTGGGATCCGAACCCGGGTCTCTCTGGACCGCAGGTCAACGCTCTAACCACTGAGCTTACCGGCCAGGGCTGTACTGTTAATTTTGATAGACATTTTCATATATCAGGTTGTGTCTTTGGAGAATGAAGACAAAATGCATTTTCTGTAGTTGCTCAGAAAGCTTCTGGGGTCATCTGAAAGTCTGAATGGGGAGGGGTCACCAGGAGCTCAGTTTGCAGAGCCTTCCTCTGTTTCCGTGGCTGTGTCAACTCTGGCTGTGTATCAGAATCACCTTGAGAACTTAAAGACACTAAGTTCCAATACGAGAAATTTTGACTTAATTGATCTAGAGTCAGGCCTGGACATGGGCATTTCCAAAAGTCTCCCCTAGAGATTTCTAAGGTGGAGGCAGTATCTAGAATCGCTGCTTTATGTGGAGCAAGGGAGGCAGGCTTGGAAGGCCCAGGTGAAGGAAACGTGTCGCATCACTAAGGCTGTGCCTGAAACAAAGAGGAGAAATGCAGATCAAGCTCCTCTACAAAACCCCACCTCCTGAAAGGCTCAGATCAGGTTCGGGGCAAAGAGGTGGGGGGAGGGAGAGGTCTGGGCGTGGCACTGTAGTCCTCTCCTGGTGTCGGTCACAGGGTCACAGACTTTACTCTTTCAGGGAAAGATGAGCTTGAGACTGAAGCCACTTCTAGGTTCTTCTCAACCCCGAGTTATCCTGAATAAGTAGCACGGAGTGGCCAGCTGGGTAGGCGGCCATGATGACTTCGCACAAAATATCCCAGGAACTGTTCTCGTCAAAGATATTGGACAAATAGAGACACAGAACAACTGCATTGAAAATGTAGAGGACGAGAAAGGCCCCCGTGTGAGCCTCCATGCTGGGGTCCCTGGGCCAGTGTCATGCGGAGGGTGTCTCTCCTGAGAGAGGTGATCAGCAGGATGAACATGACGAGGGGCATGAAGATCCCCAGGTTACTGAGGAGAAGCAGGTTGACCATGTTGGTCTCAGCGAAGTATTTTTTCTTAGTGGAGTTGGAGGAGCAGATAGGAGAAGAATCATTGACGTAAACACTGTAGACGCCATGGGAAAAGAACATACTGCAACCCAAGGCAACGAACACAGAGAGCCACAGAAGCCAGGGCATCAATCCTGTGCTTCTCCTCTTCAGCTTGAGGAAGAGGCGGTAGGAGAAATTGGCAATCTTCACGAAGTAGAAGAGACTGAGCCAGGCAGAAAACCAGAGGCGACAATAATGTAGGAACACGGAACTTACTTTGAATGTATCATATACACCATCTTCATAATAAAAATGGGGGGAGGTTGATTGGAAGGTCATTTCTAGCATCATCAAGCCTTGGAGACCTATTCTGGATACGCTGAGGAAAAACAGGGTCCTGCTACTTGTGGAAACGGCCTTATTCTGAATCCATTCATCTGCGTTTATAACCACAACGAACTCATTCGCAACAATACCAACGATGCATTCAGTGCCCATAACTGTGAAAATCAAGATGCTGTGAAATGGTGACAGCTCATCGCCTGGGAGGCTGCAGCTCTTGGCCATCCTGAGTCGTGACTCCTCTTTGGTGTTTCGGGGAAATGTCTCCCCAGCATCTGATGGGCAGGTCCTTGATAGCTCCCCCTCTTCATGTCCCTGGAGGAAGCAGCAGAGACAGCATTTCCAAATTCACTGCATTTGTTTGTCCCAAGATGCTTCGCTCCAAATCTGGAGATGCAAATGAGGAGGGATTTGGTTTCTAATCCTCTCCCAGGTCCCTTTGGACACGTTGGTATTAGTCTACCGTGGGGCCCTGGGCGGGACTTGAGGAAACCCTCTTTTATAAATCACTCAGGTGGTACTGAGCATTGGGTCCTTGACTAGCTCCAGTTAATTCAAGCATCTGATTGCCGAGTCACCATGTACTTCAGAATCACTTGTGACTTTAGAGAACTGATTGAAAGGAATAATAACTTTAAAGACATATATAATTCTTATGATGTATTAAGTACTGTTTAAACACCTTTTATATATTACCACATTGAAGCTTCACAACAATCCAATGAAGAATGTACTTTTAGCTTGGCCAGTGTGGCTCAGTGATTGAGCGTCGACCCATGCACCAAGAGGTCGCTGGTTCAATTCCCAGTCAGGGCACATGCCCAGGTTGTGGGCCCAATCCCCAATGGGGGCCATGCAGGTTGTGGCCAATAGATGTTCTCTCTCATCGATGTTTCTGTCTCTCCCTCTCCCTTCCTCTCTCTCTAAAATCAATCAATAAAAAAATACATAAATAAAAAGAAGGTACTTTTAATTATCTTTACTTTACAGACAAGAAAACTGAGACTAAATAACGTGTCCAAAGTCACAGACCCAGAGAGTGACAGAGCTGGGGTTCAAACCCAAGCCCGCTTGTCCCAGAGTCCATGTTCTTACCCCTCATGTTATACTGCGTAGACCTGTGGATCTTTTTGTTCATTCCAAAGTCTAAATGCAGGGCTGACTTGTCTGTGATACGTTTTCCTGATGGTCTTTTGGGATGTCCTCACTATTTAAGGGACGGATACTTGAATTGGAAAAAAAAAAAAAAAGAGTAGTGTTTCACCTGTGAGATTTTCTTTACAATTCGCACGAAACACTTCCCTTCTGACATTTCTGGTCACCAAATGTGTGGGCTGCCCCCACCCATACCAAGCAAAGTGTGTGGTTCTTTGTGTCTCGTGTTAGTGCTCATAAGATAGTGTGTGTTTGACATCGAGGAGCAATTAGGAGGACAGGATGACTGGTTCGATGGATGTCAGCCAGCTTCTGTCCTCGGCTACTCCCGTGCTCGTGTGATGGCTGAGGAGGTAGTGAGAACCATGTGTGTGGTTCTCACCATAGTGATTCAGATGGAGCTGTTGACCAGCAACAAAAGAGACCATTTGATGGAATAATGATTACTGATTACCCTGGATGCTTTGGACTCTTGAGGGGGCAGTAGTTGTCTTAAATGTGATTGATACATCATCCTGATATGGGTGTGTCTTTCCTGCCTGCATTGTTTTTCCCGACACCACTATCTGAGGGCTCACAGAGTGCTTGGTTTATAGACTTGGGATTTCATCTGATACCTCCTAGACCAAAGGAACTCTCTTTTTTAAATGCAAGTGTTGCGACAGTGGGCAAATGATCAAGGAATCTACTGGTGTCCCATTAACTGCATCATTAGGAAATTGCATATAGCATGCTGAAAAATACCTCATCCAGGAGCAGCTAAGGAGGCAGCTTGGGGATCACACGTGCTAGGCTGATGGCGATGTCCTTCAGGATGTGGCACGTATTTTGAAACAACGGCTTGACCACGGTGCTTTGTCTTTGACAGCTTGAGCATGTTGGCCTAGGAAGCCAGGGATCACCGTGGTCTCTCTTACCACGGCTTCTGGGGATATCATGGTTAGGGGTTCAGCAACCCTGAGCTTCCTGCGAGTCTTTTCCTCGCCACCCGCAGAAGAGGAGCAAGGCATAATCACCTGGGGACTTCAGAGTAGTTGACCTTTCAGATAGCTGGATGCAGTTGGACTAAAGTAGGAGGGGCACTTGGAATCTTTGCTCAGTTCTGCCCTAACTTTTAGTGCTGGCACCAAGTGCTTACCCTCTCTCCGGGCATTTCTTTTTGTAGATTCAGTGGTGAGAATTATTCCTGTCTCCTCTCCTCTTTTACTAGTGAGTGAATGATCCTTTTATTATATCTCAGAACATTTCTTAAAATACCAGTGTTTTAGAATGCTGCGCAGTTGCAGTACCAAGGGTTGGGGAAAGGACACAGATACGACACTGAGAAGCTGGTGGGAAGTTCTATTCACCGTCCACAGATGCCCACAAACCTACCGTAGCAAACTTAGACTTTCCAGAATCAGTGTCGTTGGGGGATATGGTCCACAACAGACTCTTTGTAACCAGTTTTGGGGTACGATTTCACATCAGGAGGGCATCTACGTTGATCCGACAACCTAAGCCCATGCCTGGGATGGTCACATTTTTGTTTTTGGAGAAAAGATAGCTGTGTCAGGCAAATGGACTCCACACCCCTTCGCTTCTGGTCCTTCTCACTCAGGCCCCACCCACAGAGCACCCCCTTTTCCTCTTTCCTGTCTCTGGTCCTCCGCTCCCAGTCCTCAGTCTCAGATCCGAGGCACAAACGCCCTCCCTCGCAGAGGACTTCGTCCACACCTTCTCTGCGTTGTGTGTTATCCTCATTCCAATGCCTTTCTCCGTTTGCTCTCTGACATTTCTCTTCCCCCCTTGTACTGGGACCTCTCTTAACATTGCCCCCTGAGGGGACATGAAAGCCCAGGCAGCAAGTGTGCTCACTCACCTGCAGTTTGGATTTCCCAGTAGCACCTTCTTGTACCCCACACCTGGGCAGGGTAAATAAGACCATCTAAGTGAAAAGTGACGCTTTGGCTCCTCTGGATCATGGCTTCAACCTGAGGAGGAGAAGGTGTGGAAGGATTAAAAAGAGTTTAGATTTGGCTGATGCACACCTGGATTAGCCAGTAGGCAAAATAAGCACCTTTTCAGGGCACCATGGGAAGTGGACAACAGGGATTCCGCTGCCTCCCCAACCTGTCATCCCTTAACTCTTTAAGTACCTTCCTGGTCTTCCGTCAACTTCTTTGGAACGCTTTCTATCGGCCACGTTCAACTTTGGTCTGCATTGTTAGAAAGATGTTTTCTTTGGCATGGTGAGCGACTGCAGATTAGAAGTTGGCTTTGAAGGTGTCCTCAGATATCACACTTGATTCTGTCTGGTTAAAAATACTACAGACAGAGCCGTTTCAAAATGGAGTCGGAGCTGCCATCCCATAGGGATTGGTTGCCTTATGAATCTTATTCCTCACACCTTTGGATGTGGAAACGAGGCAGAATAACATTGGGACTGGGCCCAGAGCAGAACAATGGTTTGCAAAGCTAATAGGAAAGCAGGCATTATGACCATCAGACTGAAAGTTAAAGACACCCTTTAGAATTAGCATCACTATGTTGGATGAACTGAACCTATAGACATTCTGTCCTTAGGTTATTAACTAACACCCACAGCAATTCCTTCTATTCCTGTAACCATTCCCCTTCCCTCTCTCAATTATCGGAACATGTTTTGGTTTCTGCCCAAACCAGTGCTTCCTGAATAGTTATTTTCTGGATCTCAAATACTTTTTGCCTCTGCCTTTGGCTGTTTACTTTTTAGATGATCTTATGTCAGTATTAGGACCTAGCGTGACCTCACTTTCATGAGTATGGTACCCACAAAGCCTTTTTTGAGCTCATCACTTCCATGGACCACCTTCCGGACTGTGAAGGCTTCTTGGGTTCAGACTCCCCTTCTTTGGTTGAGGTTGGTGCCTTTACCTGAGCCCAAGAGGGACGCTCCCTCAGAGAGGCAATTGCTGCTCTCCCATGCTGGTTCCCCTTCAGGAGGAAACTTTCCTCACCCGTGGCAGCGAGCTACCTGAAGCTTGGTGCCACGTGAGAAATAATATATATATATATATTGTTCTCAGAAAGGACTTTTGACAGCTCTCGTGGTTGTAGAAAATTCCCCGGGGAGCGAGCACCTGGCAGGGATTTCTTTCCAGGGCAGGCGAATACTTACTGTGCGCTACACGCTTTGATGTTCTTTCCTTATCTCTGTCTCTCACGTTGTTGTCATAAGAAAGAGACGTTGTAGGGAGGACGCGGGCATACATCCTATAAACCCATTTTCCAGGCCAGGCCCTGCCAACTGAGGAGCTTACGGATCTCACCAGACTGGCATTCATTTAAACAAGCTTTACTGTGGGCTAGATGTCCATGAAAGCTACTGTGAAGGAGATTCTGGAAGCCAAAGCAACACATTGGTGGGCCCAGGTTCAGCATGAAAGAGTCCGGGGGATGCTGGCCACATTAAAACAGACAGCCACCACGCTAGGGGGGATGGGTCGTGGAGCCAGTCAGACTGCACTTCCTCCCGAGGTATTCGTCTGGCTCCAGGAGGGTCGAGCTAAAGCTCTTAACGTCCAGGCTTTTCTCTCATCCCGCGAATTTGCTCGTTGATCCCTGCCATTCAAAAAGTGCATTTATCTGCATGCACTTGCCAGTCAGGCTGCCTACGGTTTTGATGAGAGTCTCTGTCATCTGTTTGTCTGGCTGTCGCAGCTCTCAGGGGAAGTGGGCTTTGACATGGCACCTCCACCCTCTGAAAGTTCCCCCCAAATTCCTTTCTTGGGAACTCCAGCGAGTTACATGTACAAACATTTTGGTTCCCCCTGTTGTGTCTTTTTCATAAAAGGGGCCAACTTAGCAAAAATCATTGAAAACAGTAATGTGTCCTTGGTCATTGCGGGAAACCTTTACTTTAAGTCCACCTCACATCCCACCTCCCTCCATGGAGAGGATGCCAAGCTGTTGCTGGGCTTGGACCGGGACCAGGTGGGTCTAGAAACCGGGACCAGTCTAGAAACAGGTTCTTGCGAGGTCATAGGAAAAGCAGTTCAGGAACTCATGGGTAGAGGAGAATTTGAGCAGTAGTGGCCGGATTTAATGAAGGGCGAGCCGGGCACAGCCGCCCCTGGAGAGGCTGCTGCATTGTCCCGCCGTGACCAGGTGGCTCAGCTCCGTTCCACACATCAGGCCCACGAGGGCCAAGACCCAGAGATGCCCAACTTCTCTCTGCCTAATTTCCCCATCGGCATGGCTGCTGCCAAGGCCTGATGGCACCCGGGTCTCAGTCAGTGTGACGGGTACACCCAGCATGCCCTCTGCCCACGTTGTGGTCCTGGCTCATATTTCCTTTCTCTTGGGAAGCCTCCTGTGGCCTTCTTTGGGGGGGGGGGTCCTTCAGGGTTCCCTCTGCTCTTCAGCTTGCTATGCCTCCTGTGCAGCCCAATGTCCCTGAGCACCACTTAATCTGCCATTTTTCACTGGTTGAAAAGAAGCAATAAAGCAGAATGGAATACAGACTCCGCCCCCGGCTGCTGCACGCATCTGACTCCCATCTCCTGGGATCTGAAGGGACAGGGGGATACAGAAGATGAAGGAGCGGGGAGACGTGGATGCTGGCCCAGTTTCTGCCCCTCAACTACCAAGTTTTAGGGCCTCTGCTTGCCCTCTCTGTGAGAATGGCCCGGCTCCTTCTATTCCTTCTCTCCCTCTTCACGGGCAGTGAGAACCTAGAAGCTGTCCTCAGCAGGTTCTTTGAAGGGAAGACGTTCTAGAAACTATGGGTACCCTGAGGACCCCCTGGGAGAGATTTTGGAGGGAAGGCACAACAGAACACAGAGAGCTTGTGAGAAGTTTATTTAACAGACCACAGCCCCAGCCTCCCCCCACCCCAGCCAAGTTCCCTTAGAGGAAACCACCTTGGGGTGGGGTGGGGGCATGGGACAAGGCTTCAGTAAGATCAGGCTACCATGAGCGTCTTCGTGATACTAAAATGGTTTGCTTTGATGGGTATCACAGCCTGGTCGTTCGGGCAGACATTTAATTGATGGATGATGTCAACCACGGCAGCAATTCTCATAGTACCTGCAAGAGGGCACAGACCATCTCTTAACACCCTCACCCCCAGGTGCTCACTTTTCTACCAGTGTCCGGTACTTCCACGGGGACTCAGTTCCCCCAAACTGTTTGCAAATAGATCTCCCTAGTTAGCTTTTCTCATGCAGCCCCTCACCTTCTGAACCTGGCACAGTCTCCAGCTCCTCCGCCCCTTCCTCCTTCCCTCCGCCCCGCTCCCTCCTTCCGCCTGGGCTCTGTGCTGAATCCAGGGTTTCTCTGTGGGTTCCCCTCCCTGGTGGGTAGTTCTTCCCTGGGGTGGCTCCTCTACTTACTGTTGAACTTAAAGTCCCATAAGAAGTTTCTTGGGTGATCGTTACACAGGCAGCTGGTGTATTTATAGTTAAAAGGCCCATCGACTGGAATGTTGCTTTCCAGGGAAGCTCTAATCTGGGGAAGAGGAGTGGAGAGAGATGGCCCAGTACTGGTGTGAGGACAGGGAAGGGAGAGAAAGGCAAGTGAGGGTCGAGGAAGAGGAGGGGATGTCCTTAGTAGGCAAAGAGCAGGGATGGAGTGGGGAGAGGCATGGGGGTTCATTTTTGTAGCAGTATTTCAGGAGCTGAAGTTAGGTCAGGAGGTGTTCTGACCTCATGTCCTCGGGTGTCTGCATTCGCATGTGGGTGTGTGGCTCGGGTGGGTGCAGGCGAGTGTCCACAGGGCCAGGGGCCCGCCTCCTGGGCACAGTGCATCCGGGGGGCTGGCTGGCCGAGGTTCAGAGCCAGGGCTTCAGGAATTGGCCCGTGACCTCAGCCCGGCCGCTTGGGCGTGGATGCCAAAGCCAGACCTTGTGGCCAGAACTGTGACCAGGGCCCGGACGTTCTCCTCCACGCTTAGTCACGAAGGTGATGTGTCTCATCTTCGCTTTGCTCCACTGTGAGAGGAAAGCAACCACCCACCCGACCGGGCTGTGAAGCGAGCAAATGAAACCTGGAGGGGATGCTTTCTCTCATCTTTCTTAACTTGAGAGCATTGTACAACTTGAGACCCCAGAGCACTGCGTGTACACGTTTCAGCAGAGTCAGGGTAATGGTCCAGTTCATGCTCAGCACAGGGGCTAATCCTGGGCTCCGCAGACCCTGTGTCTGTGAACTCCCGTGGAAAGATCTCGTATCTTTATTTTCCAAAGCTCCCATTGACATCGAGCATCCCTTCTGCTCTGAATGTCACCAACAATCCATAGTGGCACTAGCCAAGAGTGGTTTTATCATGAAGAGAAACATAGATCTGTTCACGCTACATTACGGATGTATATATCTCAAAATAGTGCCTGCCCTCATCACTACCTTGAACACAGTGGGGTTTTCTCTGGGCTGCGTGGTCAAGGCTGGAGCTGGCTGCCTGTCTCCTGAGACCTGCCCACATGGTCAAGGCTGGAGCTGGCTGCCTGTCTCCTGAGACCTGCCCACATGGTCAAGGCTGGAGCTGGCTGCCTGTCTCCTGAGACCTGCCCACATGGTCAAGGCTGGAGCTGGCTGCCTGTCTCCTGAGACCTGCCCACATGGTCAAGGCTGGAGCTGGCTGCCTGTCTCCTGACACCTGCCCACATGGTCAAGGCTGGAGCTGGCTGCCTGTCTCCTGAGACCTGCCCACGTAACTAGCACCTGTGTGCCGAGTAGCCCGTCAGCCCCAAACAGTGAATTCAAGCATTCTCACCTTTGCAATTTTACTCAAAATACTTTGAAGATCCTGGTGTTTCTTTAGAGCAGTCTGACCTTGCCTTATCTCTTTATTACATTTACAACAACCTATCTTCATGCTTCAGAATTTTCAACATTCGTGTAATTAAAACAAAAAGATCGGGACCCATTGGCTGTCCGGTGCGAAACGTGTGATTTGTTGTCAAAGACCAGTGCACAGTTGAAGGTACTTAAACAGACCAGGCAAACACCACTGTCACATAGATCATTTTTACAAATGAAAATTGAACTATTCTGTTGAAAACATATTAACTTTTCTTCTAACGTGTGGGGAAAGAAACATGTGTATTACTGTATTACAAGTTCATTTTTAATACTTTTATCACTGCTCTTCAATTTGAAATTTTTCTGTGTAATCCAATGCCTTTTACTTAATTAAGAAATTGGGTTTTTCTTCGCTGGACTCCCACCCCAGGGCAGCTACTTACCACCATACATTCTCTCAGTTCTGTTGTAACTCCAAGCTTCACAGTGACTTCTTCATTTGCCTTTGTTACCTGGGGCAGCTGAAAATCCATTTCAATGATCTTTCGACTGGTTTGGGGAAGACAGAAGCAGGCAGAGAGCAGAGATCAATCCGGGGGCACAATGAGCAGGGTTGAGGGACCAGGGAAGGTGCCAGGGGGAGATGATCAACTGATGAGATCAGAACCCCCGGGAAGTTGATTTTTAGTTAGTTAGGTTATTTTGTACTGATTTAGTTTTGCTTAATAAAGTAACTTGGATACTTTCTTTAAAACTGAGTATCTTTCCTTCCATTGACCAAAAAAAGAAAAAAAAATGCAAAAAACAATAAAAGTAGAATCTCACATGTCATTTCCTAATAAAATTCTATAGGTTCTGCTGATTGTCCACTGACTGGCAGGGCTCACGTCATCATTAGTGGAAAAGTTCATGTCAGCAGAATCATAAACATCTCAATGCCCTGGAGGTGAGGCTATTCTTGAAGATCCTCCTTCTTTGGTTCCTTGCAGGGCCCAGGATTTGTATTTCGTATTTAGTTCTGTAGGGGATTTGGACACGCGGCCATATTTGGGAACTATGGTGTCCACCTTATATTCCGGCCACACACCCCACTCTGATGGGTAAAGGGACACAGAGACAAAGGGAATAGCCAAGTATTCCCCTTCAGTGAGTGAGGACTGTGCTCAGGACCAGCAGAGTTACTTTCTTTTCCCAGAAACTCCTGCCAAAGCTCCTGTGGTGTTGGGTGAGACAGGAGGGAATCCAGTTTCTTGACCTCCAGTGCCTCCCAGCCCCCATTCCCAGGAGAAAGCATCAGATTCCAGAAAGATTCCATTTCTTGTGCCAGCTGCTCTACTGCTCACTGGGCAAAGAAGGGGCACGACCCTCAGTTTCTTCAACATCCCTCCCTCTTATAACTGAATTTAAGGTCGATAGGATGAACAGCACAGCGAGAGTGACCAACCATCCCAGGTTGCCTGGCAGTGAGGGCTTTGCTGGGCTGAGGGGCTTCCAGTGCTAAAATCAAGAACTGCCAGTGGGTCCAGTGATCCCACCTCTAGGAATATACCCTAAAAAGCCTGAGACACCAATCAGAAAGAATATATGCACCCCTATGTTCATAGCAGCACTATTTACAATAGCTAAGATCTGGAAACAACCCAAGTGTCCATCAGTAGATGAGTGAATTTAAAAGCTGTGGTACATACACACAATGGAATACGATGCAGCTGTAAGAAAGAAAGATCTCTTATCCTTTGAGATGGCATGGAAGGTCCTGGAGAGTATTATGCTAAGTGAAATAAGCCAAGCAGAGAAAGACAAATATGACATGATCTCACTTATTTGTGGAATATAATGAACTGAACAAACTGCTGAACAAAATTAACCCAGAGACATAGAGGTGGGGTACAGACTGACAAGCCTCAGAGGAAGGGGGACATGTGGGGGAAGAGATGAACCACAGAACTTACATGCATGTATGCATGACCAATGAACATAGACAACAAAGCTGGGGATGGGGTGGGGTGGGGGGAGGGAAGGAGGGTGTCAATGGGGGAAAAATGAGAAACATCTGTACCAAACACAAATTAATAAATAAAAAAATTTAAAAAAAAAAGAAAAAGAAATGCATGGGCAAACGGGGATGGTTGGCCACCCTAATTAGCCCAGCTTATCAACAACTTGCTTCCCCTCCGGGCTACATGGAGTAACATCTGTATCTGAACCTGTCTGCCCTCAGGGTTTCTTGGACACCCACCTGCCTGCATTCTATCGGCTTTTCCAAACCCTGGCAGGTGTCCTCTGGGATGAGGCACATGGGTCATTCCACAGAGGGTACCACCAGAATCCCAGACCAGAAAACCTGCGCCCCAAACCCTTCTGCTGTGTGGAAAATCTCTGGATTTGATGAGCATCCCTGCTTCCCCCAAACTGCCCTATTTCCTGCTTCATTGTACATGCCCCAATTTTCCTGCTTCCCTTAAACATGTGCCCGCGATGAGTTGGCTTCTGAACCTGGGTTCCCAGGTCCCAGTGGGGGTCGTGGGCAAGTGGTCCTCACATTTTTCTTCAGGCTTCAGAATAGGAAGAATGTTGAAACTGCTGGGCAAGCTCAACCTTGGGCTGTAGAGCCAAGGATCAGTGCCCAGGGCTTCTGATCATTCAGCGAGTCCTGCCAAAGGTGCCCAAAGCTATTTTTCAGAACCCACAGACATGCTAAACCTTCTTCTCTAGGAGGCAAGATATGAGGAGATGAAGTTCACCATGCAGAAATCTAACAAAGGTGTAGACTATGAACAGCGTGTAGTACAGAGCTGTAGAGAAAGACTAATTGTTAACTACAGCCTACACGTGCACTGGGAGCCCGTTTCCATGGTCAACTTAGAAGCACCCAGTGAAAAATGTGAGGGGAATTGATGGGGCTTCTAAGAGGAGAGAGGTAGGAAATGGCAAAGGTTCTTGAGAGCTCCTGGGATAGATTTCTGGGAAGTTGAAAACATTTTCAGAAAGGGATATGTAAATTTCCAGGATAGGAGAAGAGCCCTCCCCCAAAAGATTTCTGTCTTTTTTTTTTTTTTGAGAAAAAGAAAGCTTGACTCACGTGTCTTCCTGAGCTGTGTTGATCCCCAGCTGCAGGCAGAGAACCAGGAGCAGGGCAGCATGGCTGGCCCTGAGCAGGAGCTGGAGAGAGTGCATGCTGGAAGAGACAGAACCTGATGTCTTGGAAAGTAGGGTTCAGGTGCTCAGCACACTCTTTATAGGCAGATCAAGGGAGTGGGAGAGCTGCCACACAGGCCCACGTGACTAATCACCCTATTACCCTTTTCACTCATGATCTTTCCTTGTTGAGCTAGTTTGTTTTTCTATGGAAAAAGTCAACATTCATTGTTAGAGTGTTAGAGTCTTGGAGAGAAGTTAAATGATTCTTTCTCATTGACTCAGTACCAGCTTTCTCAGAGTGCCCAGGACCTCAAAAGATTCACGGTTCATTCCTAAGCTTACAGAAATGCTTTCTTACCCCTCATCATCATACGCCTGTCTATATAGCTGTATGTAGCCCTAGCTTTAGTCCTTCCTCTTCTAGTATCTGGGGGGCAGGAGAACTCAGCTATGGTAGCATATTTTCAGATCACAGCTCTGGGACACATTTGATTGATCCCCTATACAAAGTTCAAGAGGAGATATTACAAACATTGGTTAGAGAGCTAGGGTGACCAGGGCCTCCCTAAGGGCCACAACCAACCATGTGAGGAGAAAACTAGAGATGAGCTTCTCTATACAATGGAGAATTGAGGCCATAGCATTGGGTGATATGAAGATGTTTGTGATTGTTATGTCCTTCTTAACGTCAGGGATAACGGCAATGTCCCACAAACGCCCAAAACCCTCCAGCTACCCAAAGTCTCAGTACAGGGTGATATTTTGACTCTAGAATGTTCTATAATTGGACTTCCTGACACTAAATATTCTGCTTATTTTACTATTAACATGACCACTTTCTCACAGCACAAGGCTCATAGCAAGACCCACAACGGGAAGGTTTCCCTTCATTAGAACAGAACCCAAACCGTGTCCAGAGATTTCTCTGACCTTGGAACCTCTCTCCCTGGGATGGGAGGGAGACTTAATCTTTCTGACACTGGCATTGTGATATTACTCTTTAATCCATGAAATCTATTCCTTAACCTTTGACATATGACATTGTGAAATTTGTTCCTATTCTTCGCACAACAGGTGGCAGGCCAGGAAGACCCTCTCTGGCATGAATGTGAAAAAAATCAGAGTTCTGGGAGCTACATTGTATGTTGCCATAGGCATGGTGCAGAATTAAAGTCTAGATGTATGCTTCTGGTTTCTGGAAGTTTCTTTCTGAATTACTCTGCCTCTTTTTCTACTCCTGCACTTCCTTCCCCATTTCTTTGAACTTGACATCACTCATGTCATTCCTCACTTATAACTTCCGTGATTCCTGTGATCATTGGCTTTCTTCTTATTTTCTATCCCATGTATTCAAGAACAATGCTTTCATTTCACCGCGCCCTCGTCACAGTGGTCCTCCTTTGAAAACATTCTCCCACATTGTGATTTTCTTTACACCCGCTCTTTTGCTTACTTTCTTGAATAATTTTCATCAGAGGGACATGCTGGGTGAGAGTAATGAAGAAGGAAGGCAAAGGAATCTAGGAAGTGTTCACATGGGAAAATCTAGGAAGGGCTCTTTGCTGGGGCTGAACTCCCTTTGCAGGCGCAGCCCCATCCTTGAGGACGTACCTGCAGCATACTCCCAACGAAGCAGTGCCCCCAGTGGGTTGAGAGGATCTGTTGAAGGTAACGAGCCTCTTCTCCCATAGGCCAGAGGGAACTGCATGATTCAGAACCTTCAATGGACTCAACACATCTTAGGTACTATACAGGTCACGGCTGGTGTGATGGTTAATTTTATGGGTCAGTCTGGCTAGCCCACGATACCTAGTTTTTGGTCAAACACGAGTCTTTAGATGTCACTCTATAGGTATTTTTATATCAATAGACATTGAGTAAAACTGATTACCTTCCATAATATTGACAGGCCTCTTCCTATCAGCTGAAAGACTGAAGAGAAATGACGGAGGGGAAGAGGAAATTCTGCCTCCAGGATGCCTGCAGACTTGAGCTGCAACAATAACTCCTTCCTCAGTCTCCAGTGTGCTGGCCTGTCCTGCAGATTTCAAACTCTCCAGCCCCCACAACTGTGTGAGTCAATTCCTTACATAAACATCTCTTCCTCTCTCTCTCTCTCCACACACCCACACGCATCCTATCGGTTCTGTTTCTCTTTTGAGAACCCTAAGACAGCTGGTGTTTGGTAAGGGACAATAAATGTTGAAAAGGTTGCAATTCATATTGGTTGAAAGCATATTTGAAACCCTGGAGTGAATTCAGAATTTAAACCCATGAGATGGCAGGTATTTCAGATGGGCAGATGGGAAGGTCAGGTGGGGACTGGAGTCGAGATGCCACCTGGGCATGTTGCAGTGAAGTCTCAGAATGTTTCAGTGTCACATCAATAGGTGGTGAAGTCTGGGATAGAAGACAAATTATTGCTGATTGAACATAATTTTGAGAGGCACTACATGATGATATATTCCTTTATTTAGTTTAGAAATTATTAAGTGATGCTCATATATTGGTCAAGGTTGTCATGGAAAACGATAGCCATGGAATAATGGAACATGGTGAGGATGGCTAAAAGGCCAGTATGAATGACCATAATTTTTGTTTTCAACCCAATTATCTTGAGTATGTTGGCCTTATTTAAATGTTTTCAGACATTGGTTAAATAATTCTGATTTAAATAGCAATGAATATTTATTGTAGAGAGTAACATGGTTTGAGGGCCAATAAGCCAATAAATTTTTGCAAGATAGTTCCTTCAACTTCCACCCAAACTGCATAGAAGATCTGGATGGAGATGAACAGTACCAGGTGAACCTTGCAGCTGTGTGTTTTCTTACACATTTTTGCTGGGTTAAGCCTCACATCAGGAACTAGACAAATCCACCAGACAAAAATTCAGGTGTCCCCACTCTGTTCCACAGTTCACACAGAGATTTCAGTATTCATGGGGCTGAATATATCTGAAAAGATCAATATTTCAGAGGCAAGATAGGATTGAAGTAGCTACCACAGTTCTGTAGGCAGTAGGTAGGAATGCTTTCAGAATGTTATTTATGACCAAAGTTTGAGGAGAATGACATCTTCTTCCCTGTATTATTGTTCAGAAAACCAGTCTAGCAGATGGCGCCTAGGGGAAAGAGTGAACCCAAAAATGTGATGTTTTTTAACTAACAAATAAGACTACTAGATTTAACAAACCAAGAAGAGGTTGATAAAATCAGATTGTAAACAACCCAGGAGATTCATGGAAAAGAATGCACACAGGTGCAAGAGAAACAGATGAAAGGCAAAGGAGAAGGTTGCATAGGCTAAATTTACAAAGAGAAAAGGTGATCCTTGACCTGGCTCATGAAACAAGAAGGTAAGGAACGACTAAAAAGGTTAGTTAAACAAGCCAACACATATGAAGCACACATGTGTGCATAACACTGTGTTAAAGATTTGACATGTATTGACAACATCTTTAAAACAACCCAATAAAGTAGGTTGCCTGTTTTATCCCATTTTATGAATGGGGACATGGAGGCATGTAGCAGATAAATATATTGAGCACAGGTCACATAGCAGTAATGTGTGGAGCCAACTTTGGATTCGTTTTGTGGAACCTGAAAGTTTTGGTTTACAATGCTGGGAACCTCTTTCAGAAACAGATTACAAACTTACAAACAGGAAATACATTTACAGGATCTTGGAACAGGCTACGAGGAGCCCTGAGGCTCATGTCATTCTCTGTATGGTGAATACAGCTTTAGATGAAGCCAGAATTTGAACAGGCAGTTTGTTTCTAGAACCTGAACTTTTTTTTTTTTTTATCCTCACCTGAGGACATTTTTCCATTTTTTTGTTCAGATAGAGTGGGAGAGAGAGAGAGAGAGAGAAACATTGATGTGAAAGGGACACATCAAGTGGTTGCCACCCGCATGACCCACCCAGGGCCGGGGACAAACTGCAACCAAGGTATGCGCCCTTAGCGGGAACCGAACCGGGGTGTCTCCGGACTGCAGGCCAACACTCTAACCGCTGAGCCAAACCGGCCAGGGCAGAACCTGAACTTTCAACTACTCCACTGCCTACTAGTGAGGATAAGGCTCAGTAAGGCATGCCCAATTCTAATGAAGAATCCCAAAGTCAGTAAATAAAAGACATGCTATAAGCATACATTTTGTCTTCTATGGTTGACCATTCTAGGATGTTTCTCCATAGAGTTGACATGAACAATCTCAGCATTCATCCCTTCTTCTATGTAGTGGTGTCTCTACCCAGAATTCACCAGTCCTTTTAGATAATCCATTCTACACATCCTGGTTGAGCACTTACCATTACAAAGAGGTTTCAGGTGATGACCATGCAGAGATGAATAAGATAGAGTATATTAGAGGAGGCAGTCAAAATGTCACCAGAAAAAAGACTGGAACCAAGGTGGGTCTGCCCCAGCACAGTCTGAAATGTGTGGGTTATTGACTTCATGCAGGAAAAATTTCACAAGATGAGTCCAGGTGATTTGGGGAGTGTATTCATTCAAGCTGGGGACAGCAAAACCAAAAGAAGGGCTTAAGATAGAGGAGGCAAGATCACAGCAACAGGAGTGAGCCTAGGCTGAACTACCTAAATCAGCGGTTCTCAACCTGTGGGTCATGACCCTTTGTGGGTCGAACGACCCTTTCACAGGAGTCTCCTAAGACCATTGGAAAACACATATTTCCGATGGTCTTAGGAACCGAGACACTGCTCCTTTATCCACCTCCAGGCAGGTCTGCCCACATGCAGATATGCCCACATACAACATGAGCAACTGTATTAAAGAATCATGGCATTAGGAAGGTTGAGAACCACTGGCCTAGATGCAGGAAAAAAAATCACAGTAATATAAGTGGCAGAGGTGAGCCACACTGGGCTGTGTGGACTTAGAAAAGGAAGTTACAGTAACAGAAGTGAGCCACGCTGGGAACAGTTACAGAGGCAAAAGGAGGGCCCTTAGAGACAGATTCAGGGGATTAGTCTGGGACAAGCTACTGCTGTCCACTGTCCCCCTGGTTGCAAGTCTCATGGGGACCCTTAAAGCTTAGAAGAAAGAAAGCAAAAGTGCACATCTAAGGAAAGGGAATGTGGGTATGCTCGAGGGAGCATACACTGGATCCTTTGTCTTGAAGATTTTTATCTGTTTTCTAGAAACCAAAGTTTTAGGGAAGTCTCAGGGGAGTGTTTCAACAGAATATTTAACAGCTTTCCAGATGTGTTCTTTAATATGCTGATGCATCAAAATGAGCATATAGGGGAGCTTGGGATCATTCTCTGGTCAGCTTCACTGTTTTACTTTGATCTTGGATTTGTTTGGCTCTAATTAGTTTTTGTTGTTGTTGTTGTTGTTTTTTGTTCCCCTAAATTTATCTGTCCTGGGGTATAGTTGGTATCACCTGGGTTTCTATTTTCTGTCTCCCTGATCAGGGTGATTAAAACTACTCACTCTCTGTTTGGGGAGGAGAGCTATAAACTATTTGCTTTTAAGTGTCCTTGGTTAGGAAAGATAAAATCTTGTGATTAGCAGACTGTTAATTGCTAGACCTTGTTTAACTATTTTATATTAGTTTCCCTCATTTCACTTGCCAAGAAATTTTCCTAGCTTCATATTATCATGCCTCAAAAATCACAATTTAACAGGTTCTGATCAGCATTGTAACAATAGTTTCTGTTTATTGAGGACTATTAAGTCTTTTTCAGGGTAAAGCTAAATGGAGCTGGCAGCCTTAGAACCCATTTCTGTCCATCCACACATTTTAAAAGGCATCCAAACAATATACCTAAAAACAATAAAATATAAACCTGATTAAAATTTTTAAATAATTTCATAGATCTTTATCTCTTTATTATTTTAGGGGAAATGAAGAAGTTTTACACATTATATTCCACAAATACCTTTCTTAATGTCTATACTGAATACTTTTGACATATGACCCTCCCTTCCACCATGAAAGACCTTAGAAGTAGAAATGAGTTCCTTTTGTCTCTTCTTCTCATGAGAACCACATGCCCTAGAATTGTGTATATATTCTTTAAATACCAAAAGCAACACTAAGAAAAAAATATTTAGAGAGTGCTTACTGTAAGTCCGACTCTAAGTGTTTAACGTATTAATTCACCTATTCTTTAAAACAATAATATAACTTAAGTATATCCCATTTTATGGACAGGGAATTTGATGCCTAGAGAGATAAAGTAACTTGCTCAAGGTTGCAAAGTTAGTAATGCGCAGAATTAGGGTTCACAATCAGTTGTCTGACACCAGAGTCTTAGTCCCTAAGCCCATTTACTGTCTCTTAAGGTAACAACATTTTACAGTTGAGAAAAGGAAGCTCAAGAGAGGTTTAATGGCTTATTCAAGTTGTACAGTCATATAGCCAACAAATAAAAAAGGTGATATTCAAACCCAGATAGAAGTGAACCTGGAGTCATTACTTGTAATGACTACTCCATGTTACTTTCTAATTAATAAAAGCATGAGTGCTGTAGGATTTGCACAAAGGGCATTTAATTCATCCTGAGGATGTAATAACTTAGGAGGAGCTTGCATCCAAGTTGAGTTTTGAAGTGTTGCAATGTGACTCAAAACCAGCCTGAGATAAGCATGAGAGAGAGAGAGAGAGAGAGAGAGAGAGAGAGAGAGATGTGAAAGAGAGAATGGAGGATTACTAGAGGATTATTTTATTGGTCATTTTTGGAAGTGACCTACATCATTCACTTTGCATCCTCATGGTCATAGCCTAGTCATATGGTCACACCAAACTTCAAGAAAGATTGGGAAATGTAGACCAACTGTATGCCTAGGAAGAAAAGGAAATGGTTTTAGTGACATTGCTGTTACCATACACATGTGTACACATATAGTATGTGTATGTTTATTACTAGTAGATAATATCAAATGTTTTCCAAAGTTATACCAATATGCACACCAGAATTTCACTATAACCTCAACAATATTTGATAGTCAGTTTTTGACATGTAGTGAAACTCATTATGATTCTTTGAATTTCTGTGATTATCATATATCACATATCAGATATTCCCTTTTATAAGTTGCCTGTTCAAAGCTCTTGCCCATTTTTCAATTGGGTTGCTTGTCTTTTTTGTATTGATTATAGGACTTCTGTATATATTGCCTTTCACTCTTTTAATGATGTCTTTTGATGAACTGAAGTTCTTAATTTTTTAAAAATA